GAGCCAGAGAAGGACACATTTGCGACATACCAATAGATTTTTATTTGTGACATTTGATACATTTTGAGTATTTATGAAATATAAAATTAGAGCACCTAAATTTATAGAAGGCAAAGATTAATTTGGACCACTTATCAACTGACACATTGATTCTAGAGATATATCTCCAGAAACACACCCTATTATCTTGTTCTGAAGATGCATCTTTGAAACTTCTCCTAAACTAGTTTCAAAACAAAACATAAACAAAACCTATTTTTTTCCATTGAACAAAAACACACATGTTGTTATGGGGCAGACAAAAAATGCATAAAGACAAAATATGAACAAAAAGTGAATATATAACACTTCATTTATATAGAGACACAATTACATACAATTATTTATCTGGTTAAACAAGAAATTAAAATGAATCGAAACATGTGTCGTCGGCTAAATCTATAGGTGGTACCAATTTGGACTTTGTGCATTCAATTCTTTTTCATTGTTGTTCAATCTCTCAAATTCTTGCATCCTTTCTATAAAATGATTCGGCCACATCTCGACTTTTGCGATTGAATGAGTCGTCCACTCTAGTGATTTAAGTGGTATGGGTACCCTGTCTTCAAGTAAACTTGAACAAAATAACTTGATTTTGAAAGTCATCCAATACACATGATTCTATCATTTATATTTTAGGGTGGGACGATGCATAGTAGGAAAAAGGTTTCCGAAAAACCGTAGTGCGTCAAGTTAAGACACACTATATCATATGCACATGCTATTAGGTGACCCATATCAGAGAAACGCAACCATTTTTTCTCCATTTCCAGAATGCTCAAGCAAGGAACAAGAGACTCATACATTGCATCAAAACTTTCTTTATTTTCGTACAACCACATGTATGATTCTTTATGAATCTTCAACTCTTGGATAAGTTGAAATTGGACAAGTGTATGACTATATTCTCATTTACCGAGTAAAGCCAAAATGGCTCAGTAACCGCAATTACTGTCCCTCACAACATTAGCGGTCCGCTCGATATATTTGTGCATAAAAACTGACATCTCGTCAATGTATTGAATCTTCGTTGGAAGCTGCGCCGAAGGTGGTTTGCTAATCCAGGCTTCTTTCATAACACTTTTTTGAGATTTTGGAGTCGGTGAGTTAGGAAAAACCTTATCAACATTTTCAAAATATGAAGGAGGCCATGTAGTCGAGTTCTCATTCGGTGTAGGCTTCATTTTCTTCGGAGCACCCTTTGTTTTTACCGGTTGAGAAAGTGGTTTCATGTCGGTGGTTTCAAGACAAACAATTTCCTCAAATATTCTTTGATGCGGAGTTTCATGTTGTTATTGGCCTTTGAAAATATCTATTGTATCACTCCCCATTCGGTCAAAATAGAGATATTTGATTTCCCATCATCCATACAACCATCATCATCAAACCTATGTCTCTTCCTATGAGAGTAAACCCCATCCATTCTTATTGGTTCACCAAGTTTCACCTTTTTAGAACTAGTACAGGCACATGAGAGACCATATGTTTTTACAATATTTCATCCACACCTTGCGCTATCGGAGCCTACATTATCAGCTCGTTTAGCCTCGTGAAAAATATAGTTCAAACTCGCCCGAGAAATATCACCAACCAACTGAGAATATAAAGTGTTGTCGTTAAATCTGTGTTCCAAAATTGTGATGCTGCAACCAAATATTATTTGTATATCATTATGCTGGTTTTGAATCATGTGGTTCACAAAGTCCTAGTCTCTACACAAATTCCTTTTACTATTTCCCAAGTAAAATTTCAAAGTAGTATGGGCCGACTTAACTCTGTTAGTAGTTGTATTTCCAAGGTGTCTAACATTATCAGTCCACGCACAAACTATCTTCTCCTTCACCTGGTCGAGAATTGTGTTTTCAACGTATTTCAACAAATCTGGATACTTTTCACACACTTTTCAAAAATGAATAACGAAATCAGCATATAGTTCTTTTGTGGAAGAATTTATTATACGATTCCATGCATCCATAATTTTTCCACAGTTACACTCAACTTCACCAATTTTCCACCTTCGGACTCTATTTGTTTCGTCCCTATCGCAGATTTAACACGACTTTTCACATTCTTTGTTATGTGATAATTACAAAGTAATACATTAGAATAAGAAAATACCTTTGCAACCGAATTCATCAATGCGGTATTGCGGTCGACAACAATCTATTTAGGCATCTCACGTTGTACTTTCAAAAGTGACTGACACACCTCTAATGTCCAAGTAAAATTGTCCTTTTTTTTCACACTCAAGAAATGCAAAATCAACATAATATGTCTTCTCAGTTGAGGTAACATCAATCATCTCGAATAATGAAAGTCTATACTTATTGGTTTTGTAGGTTGAATCAAGTATCAACGCCGTAGGAAACATGTTAAACAACTTTATGGAATCAAGATGAGTCCAAAAAATATCTCTAACCGTAACTCCATCATTGCACGTTGGGTACACGGACGCGTAATTGTTATCATCTAATAGTTTTAAGATTTGTTGAATCTATGTTCTATCCCCCTAAGCGCCTTGTTAGTGAGGTGCTGAATATTATACACTTACTTGATATTTGATATATTGTCGGGTCATTTGCGTTGCAATGTTGCAAGTATATTTTCAGTTGAATAAGATTCAGGGTCATGTCAGTAATACATTTCTTCTTTTCTGGCTTGAGCTGACATACACTAGGATGACCGACTAATTTTAGACACAAATTATGGTTATGCAAACCACATATCACATTTAATCTCCAATTTTTGTTTTCCAACATGTAATCACGAACCTTAAACGGACACTCACATTTCCTACTACATGTGTCGTCTCTTTTAAAATTCCAGAGAGTTCGATATTTCCCGCTTTTTTCGCACACCATTGTCACAAAAGGATATCTTTTATTCGAACCATTGCCAGACCTTCCGGTAACCACACCAAATCCGAGTTTAGAGACCTTTGTACGAATCCATTCAAGCATTTGATCACGAGATTCAAACTCTTGCTTGTTTTTAAAGTCGTTACCAACATCTATCGTCTTCACAGCAACCCGTTAAACATTCGGAGAAACAACTTGTTTTGGAAAAACATCGGGGTGCACCATATCTATTAAAAACAATTAAAATAATAACACAACATTAGTTCAATTATTGTTGCAGAATGACTGAGAAAATAAACGCAAACAACTTCCGGAAATACATCTCTGGACAAGTTCATATACGTTTCGGAGATACATTTCCGGACACAGTATAAGTTTTTTCAGAAAAAAATGATGATTAATGTGAGCAATGCAGAGGGAAAAGAATAGTCTTTACCTAAAATTCTATCTTCTTTTGCTCCATGTGATATGTTGAACCAAAAGGATGGAGATTTGGAGTGAAAAAAATGGATTGAGAATGAATGGTTTTTAGGGTGAAGGGTTTGGTTGAGAATGAGAGGTTTTTAAGGTGAAGGGTTTGGTTAAGAATGAAGTACGTCAACAATGGAGGAGTGATCATGCAGCCGGTTGTTATATCAAATATTTTCGGAGATGCATCTCCGAAAATACTTGACATGTAAAGGTGATAGAAAATTTCAAAATGTCGCCCATAATTCTGGAGACGCGTCTCTGGAATATCTACTGAACGGAACACTTAAAATGTTTTTTTAAAATATTTCGGAGATGCATCTCCGGAAATCTATTGATCTGAACAACTAAATTATTTTTCTTAAAATGTTACAAAGATATATCTCCAGAATAAAATTAACCCAATATATGAGACGTAACTCTGAACAACTAAATTGTTTTTTTTTAAATGTTCCGGAGATATATCTCCGAAATAAAACTAACCTAATATATTGGGCGTAACTCAGAATGGTCTTAGTTGAATATGCAAAAGATGCGTTCAGAGATATATCTCTGGAACCAAAAAACATATATAAAAATTCACAAAGTACATTAAAAATATTTAGGATGCATTAGAAACATCTAGGGTGCATTAGAAATATCTAGGGAGCAATAAAAAAATTTCAGCTTAATACTTTTTTTGGTCTCGTATCATAACTTTGGGTTTATTTTAATCTCTTAACTTTAAAAAGGTTCATATTGGTCCCTTAAATCTTAAAAACATTTCATATTAGTCTTTTTTTTCTTTAGCGACGAAAAATTCAAAAATCAGTCGCTAAATTCGTCGTTAATTCGACAAAAATGACTAATATAAAAAATTATAAAGAGTTAAGGTACTACATGGACCTTTTTAAAATTAAAGAGACAAAATGAACCGTTAAAATTCGAGAAAAAAAAGATATTTAGCCAAAATTCTCTTTAAAATAGGTTTGTGTTTATCAAAATTGATATGTAACTTCGTGAATATTCCACCTAAGTTTATTCAAATTATCTATCATTGTATTTCATCTCTGTTTTATAAAACCATCTTAATTGGAAGTTCATGGATAATTCCACCTATTGCTGTTATTGCATTGGTAACTTTATTGGTAACTTTTATGTCAGTGTATTTTAGTGAAGGAACTCAGTTTTTAGGGACCATGCTATCACCTACCAGCATTAGGCTTACATACAAAAAGAGAATTTACACATCATGCATGTACTCCATTATTTTGTTGGAACTCATATTGACTTGTGGAAGTGCCTTGAAGCTATTCATAACTGAGGACAAGTACAAACTCCAATCTCATGCACTACAATAGTCCCTCTCGTTTTGATTCTAAAAAAGGGGAAGACATCATAGGGTCCATTGGTAGTAGTAAGGATTCATAGTCCTAAAAATATAACAACAAATAAAGCATATGGTACAAAATTGGAGGGTATGCATTTCAACATTATAAGAAACAAATCAAAAACATCCATAACATTAAAGAAATTAATGACAAATTCCCAAGTAGGAAAACCAAACACCTGAGTTTTGTCCCAAGTAGTTGTATATCTATGTAAAGTAATAAAAGACCGCATAATATGAATAGATAGAGGGGATAGGAAACTATCTCAAAGAGGTAAGGTCTTTCGACAATAAGATAAAGCCATCACAAAGTCCTTAGCCGAAGATCCTACTGATGCCGGTAGCTTTTTCGATGTTGATGCTGTGCAGAACCACAGATCTACTAAGTTATGCATTTGCAAAGATGGGAGCACGGGCTGACCCCGACATATTATTTCCACCTGTAGAAAATAGCACCAAACAATGTCACAATAATGATCTGTACTAGGTAAATGTCAAAAGATCTGTACTAGGTTGCTTTGTCACATGTAGAAATGTTTCAATCGGATGACAAAAGACACTGACACCTTATGTTTATATAACACATCAATGACCAAACACATACTATGATTAAGTAACTATAATTAAGTAATTACCTCGGCTTCGCTTGCAAGATTAAGTTTCTTCATGAGGTACTTTTGAATAAACGAGACGGGCACAGTACCATCCCTGTGATGAGATAAGAAAAGAGGGATTATACCAAATGAGCTATCACAACTTTTAGTTATGAAATATGAAAAAGTAATGAAATAAGCAGGAAACAGCAATACATTCAGTTCAATAAGGAAGCTAAATATTATGAATCTTCCCAGTGACCATGTGTGTGCTCATCAAGTATGTGAAAAAAGTAAATATCCTGAAGTTCTGAATTCAGACTAGATATTTCAAGGTAAATGAAGGATAGAGAAAAGTAAATAGCTCAAACATGTCAAAGATAGCATAATCTTCTAAGACATTTCAAGATAATACCATAAGTAAACAATTATGGTAACCATAAAATCAGCCGCCACAAATGTTCGGCATTTCTGTTTAAAGAAGCTCTGAAGGTATGTTAAAAAAGTTTAAAATATCATTTACATCCATTGAGTAAATATGAGAGGGGACAAGTTGTAAGGTGAGGGCTTGTCCAAACCCATAAAAAATAACTACTTAGGTCAAACCTTTATGCAATGCGGGCCTAAAGACACCCCTGATACACTTAGGACAATGAAGGTGTTGGAGACCCTGATGAAGGAAACTCAAAGTTGCCTTAATTAAGGCGGCTTTCCAACAACCTTCCTCATGCCCAAGGCAATGGGCCTAGAGGGTGGACAAATGCAGATGATAGACTCTGATATTATCTCAGTTTAGATTTCGCCTTATTCTACCCCAAAAACAAGCTCATTGGGTGAGTGTTAACCCCATTTATAACTCCTATTCATACCATATCACTATTCAACACGAGACTCTCAACACACACTTCATACACCCAGCACAAAGAATTGAAGGCAGCAATGATAGCAACCCAAACATGCTGTCGTCGAGGGGTGGACTGCAATTAAGATAGCGTTCTAGTAGCTTCTAATGCTAAAGTTAACTAAAAGCTTTCTAGATCTCTAAAGTCTGAACTTATGAACACAACAAACACAACCCAAATTTGGATGCGAGAAAAGACCACATAAGATTTAACAGCAAAATTGTTATGAATACAAGTGTTGAAGAGAGAGAAAGATTGAAAAACATTCATTTTTCACTTAGCTTCACTCACGAGTCATTTCACGAAATTAGATTTGTGCCATTCAACAATAATCTATTTAAAAAGGTGTTTTTTTTATCTAACTTTCATATGTAAAAACAATCTTTTTTTGTTTTACCATTCCGTTACTATTTACTCCTTGGAAAATTAAACTTCAGCCTACCTAAAGTGGTTAATTAGGACTTGCAGACATTTAGTCCTATCATGAAACTATAAATCAGCATACAAAACCACATTTTTGTAATTTTATAAACATTTAGCACAAACTAAAGAAATGGGGAAAGGGGTGAATTCTTTCGTGTCGATTCACAGGTTAATTTTCTCGCTAAATTTCAAGAGAAAAATATGGTGGGAATGAAACAGACAAGCAGAAAGAGTACATGAGTTGAAAAAGTTACTTTATTCTTAAATAGCAAGCCGAGATCTGTGGCAAGGAAATTTCTCCATTCCTGAATAATAAAGTCAATGCAATGCTTTAGGATCCAAATAAGAAAAACAACTTATGATCTTTATGATCAATAGAATAGAGATTGGATAAAGAAAGATGACTTACTGGTCTTCTGAAGCAACTAATGTAAACCAAATAGGACTGTTTTTCCTGTTGCACCTGCTCCCTGTTGTATCTAACACGAGTTGTGCTGAGGCAGACATCTCAGATGCTGCTGTTCTCTTCTGATTAGCCGGACGTAGCCTTTTTCGCTTCACCGATCCCGTAGGCAAGGCATTTCCATCCTTGTCATCTCCAAACTTTGTTTTATGTCCATTACTCTTGTTCTTGGTTTTAGGCATGTGTAATTCACTCTGAACTGATGTAGGTGGCTCTGATTTGGCAGTTTCAGATATCACTAATCCACCGTGAGGAGTAACCGGGGACTCTAGTTTGGCAAGAGGACTCCCTTGTAAATTTGACCTCGAGGACTTTGTTCTATTGGCCGCTTCAACAAGACAGTTCAACGGCGTCCAGAGATCAGCCTTTCCTTCGGTAAGGTCCACATTGTTGTTTGCATCTTCATTAGGTCTATGCTTCTTAGAAGTCTCCGCTATGAAAGAACCCTACAACAATATAACAACCATACACGCGCATAATCACACATAACAGCGTCATCATAATTGTTCAAGTAAAAGCCCAACCAACGACAAATTAAAGCAGTTCTGAACTTACCAGATTATCTTCGTCAAGTGTTTCTTCTTTCTTTACAGAACCTTCGGCGATAAAACTGCATCCGCGTAAAGCAGAAGCCTTTCTCGTACCAGTTTTTGTTCTCTTTCCTGTAAAGCCTATATGTGTTGAAACTTTGGGAGCACTAACCACCAATGACGAAAGAGATCTTTCTTTCCTTTTTGCCGGTAGGGGTATTGCAGGAACAACTTCTTCGGCTTCAACCTTTTTTCGTTTAAACGGGAATATTTTGGTCCTAATATCTTGCAGATTGTGATCAGGCCTGAAGATAAATCACATTACTAAAAAAGCTTTGGGCAAACTACATATCATCATAGTAAAAATTTCCGGAAATAGATAGCGCAATAAATAAACGAAAGAGATTCAATTTCAAGGTCTTCAAGTTTGAAAAACAAAGACGAACCTGAGCTTTTCGACGGGAAGAATGCCGAGATCAATGTTGCATACCGGACAACAATCGACCTCTTCATCCGAAAGCTTGTCATATATACACTTCCTGCAAACTGGAACATGCAATTCAACAACGTTCAATGTAATGCACAAATAAACACAAGGAAATCAACAGAAAGAAAAGATAAAAAATCAAGAATTAAATTCAGTGCATAGTTGACTTGGTGATGTTGGTCAATTCATAGTAACAGACGTTGTTGTGAACATGAACATGAACATAAACGCGAAGATGAAGATGATGATATAGAACATAAGAGAAATAGAAATAATAGTGAAAACGTTGTAATTGAAAGAATTAAGAAAGAAGGGTTAAGATTAAGAACGTAGAGAAGAATAGAAATCGGAGAGAAATCAGATCGAGGGAGAGAGGAATGGATTACAAGTGTGAAGACAGAGAGAGATGGTGGTAGCATCTTTGAGAAGGTGAAGACAAATGGGGCATGTCATGCATGCTTGGAGAGGTTCTCTCTTCAATTTGACAACCATGCTGTTGTTGGCATTAATGGCAATGGGATCTATCAGAGAAAGAGGAAGAGATTGAAACCACGACGTGAGAGAGAGACCGAAGCGAAGCGGTTGAATCGAATGCTGGAAGAAGGACAAGAAGAAGAAAGAGCATAACAAACGCGAAGAACCCAAACGCTTATTTATGCGGTTTTATGGATATATTTATAATTATATTATTATTATTATTATTATTCATCTCAACTACAACACACATTGCTTGTGATCTATGACTACATACACACGCGTTCAATATGCTTCTACTTGTACATGCTACGGAGTAGTTGTATACTCATTATTACACGTTTAGCTTGGGTGTAAATATCATTTGAATCTAACACTAAACACACTTGATTCAAATAGGGTTTGCGTCTAACACTAGGGAAGTTTAATCCAAGTTATGGACATGCACTTCTTTATTCCACTATCATTCAATTTATGCCAATGTAATAGTATGTGTATTAAAATTATATTATCATAACAAGTTTTTTATTAAATTAACCCATACACGTAATGCACGAGATGATGAAAATATCATCTATATGAATAAATCAATCCATAATACAATCTTAATAACAAAGTAATAAACGATAATAATATGCATAATGTCCGATACAATTACTATATAATACAAATATTATACTATTGCATATGTCGAGCCCCTTTTTTCCTTCGTTTCCTCATGTACTGCAGTGTAGTCCATGCCTCAGTAAGAATGACATCTACAATGTTCTTCCTTTATGTTGCATAACATGTTCATCATCAATGTTTGTCTGCACTGTCGTCGTTAGCTGATGTGCATACAACCTCTCCATGAATCCAAACCTAGCATGACACCCTCAAATGTCTTTTATCTCCTTCAAGGCATCCCCTGGGTCAGCTCCTATGTATGTCACCATCATCTCCATGTCTTATCTCTGATAATCTGTTGTGGTATAATAGTCTTCCCATGATTGGATGATGCAGCAAGCATGAGACATCGTCCAGTGTGATAGACATCTCACTATGTGGAAGATGAAAAGATGACGTTTCAGAATGTCATCTCTCAACGAATGCAGACAACATAACATAGTTAATAGTATAATACCTAGTCATACATAAGTCTCACAACCTAGATAGTTGCATCACATCGTGAAACCACAACTGCTAAGTCTTAGGCAGCTTCTCAATCTTCCAACCATGGTTGATGCATTTTAAAGCATCATGGTCATGTAGAAAAATAAATTATCGGTAGAAATTTTAAATATTATAACAATTATGTGTCAAAGAATGAATACAACCGAATTTTAAATCTCAGTTACACACATGTCTTGCAAATTGGTTTGGATATAAAGGAAACAACGATAAGTCAAACAAGCCTCTTCCAAACACCTTAGGAACGACATCAACCTGGGGTGCCTCAACCTTAACCAGCGGGGCTTCTTGGACATCAGAAGGTAACACTTGCCTCCTTTAAGAAGACAGAGTCGGAGATGCATGAACCATAGAAGTTGGTGCATTCGTATTAAACTATAACTCTGTAAACACAAAAATGGCATAAAATATCAAAGAGTAAGACACGGTGAAATTTGACAAGGAAGCCAAAGAAAATGTAAAGATTCAACATGTTTGCTGGGCGAACAACAGCGAGCAGCCAGCAAATATTCGTTGGGTGAAGTAGCAGCGAAGCCCCATCGAGCCAGCTTAGATTAGAGGCAAAAAGAAAATGACTTTATGTTCGCTGGAAAAACTTGTAGCGAGTGTTCGTTGTGCGAAGTTTCAGTAAGGAGGAAACCTTGGATGGCAGTAAGTAAAGGGCCATAAGTTCGTTGTGCGAACTTGTAGCGAAGAGGCTCGTAGGGCGAAGAAGTGTTCGCTATGCAAGTTCAAATATTTTCCCAGGGGCAGTTTAATTGTTTAGAGACACTTCAGGTACCATAAAGTAGTCATCACTGGGCGAACGTAGCAGACTTTAGTTGTACTATATAAGTACTTTTCACACTTTTTGGGGATTATAACCCCATTTTCACACCAAAACATATATTTTATGCATTTCTTCACCAAAGAGTGATATTTTGCAAATAGAAGTTGGATTCGCATCTGAGTTCGATTCTTTGACGTGGATGCTCATTCATCTTCTCTTATTACTTATAAAGCAAGCTACCATGGTTATGGGTAGCTAATTTCCTTTGTATCAAAGGTAGAGATAGTCTGCCTTAGCTTCATGTATTTCTTTTGATTTGTCTTGCATGTGAATAAGTGATGATTAATATATGATGAATATTTTTGTTCTTAATGATCCATTCTTTTTTTGTAAAACTCTAGACATAGATTTTATGGAACTTGACCTAAAATATTCATCTGTCGATTTATAAATTGGAGAGATCGGTCTATGGTTGATATTTGCTTTGTATTGAACTTAAAGTTTACTATATTGATTGATATATAGAAAGGTCGTGTCACGATGAATACGGAATTTCTCACGATGTTGCTCTAGAGATATATGGTATTGAGAGAATGCGCGATGATATTAATCGGATCCGACTTCACATACAAGATTGAAAGAATACGTATAAGTTAGGGTAGAAGAAAACTACTTTTGATATACTTTGTTAATCAAACCTTTTAGAATTTATAAGATTTCCTACTAAAAGTTATGACAATTTATGAAACAAAATTTGAAAACCCTTTTCCTTAGAACGGTAAACTATTGAACGATAAGCATTCGGTATTAGAACAATCCCTATGGAGACGATAACAAAAACCCCCCCTTTAACTACGATTCGAACACTAAATCAGATGATATTCAATAACCATTTACATGTCAAACATCAATAATAAGTTGTGAATGATTAAAAACATCAAGTAAACACAAATAAGATCATAGATTTGACAAAGTAGTTATTTCTTTATCAGGCTCAACCATGCACATTGCAATCTCATCAATATCTTGTGATGAATTAGAATTAAACAGATAATACGAACTGATGTGACTGAGTTAAAGTCTAACTCAATGGGTTTCTTGGTACTATAATGACATAATGTTGAGAGAATGGTTTTCACATTAGCATCATTTTGAAGTTGCATGTTAGTGAATTAAACACTTTCATTATCGTCGAATGACAAATATTGATACTCAACAGTTACTACCCTTCTTGTCTCATGTTGAGACTAAGATTCATTTAGTTCAATTGGTATTTCAAATCAGATAGTGTAACATCAATATTTATCGTGAACAAATGAGGATGAGTCTCCTTGTTGAAGTAAAGGGAAAATAGGTTAGATTTCATTCTAATTAGGTATGGATAAAATAAGCTTATTATTTTTCTGATGTTAGTTGCAAATGAACCAAACACATCATTTTATACAAGTTACTTTACATTCTAGTCCACATAAACAATCAGCATAATTTAAACCACGCAAAAGAATTAAATGTCGGGTTTTAGATATAGAATCCAGATTATGCCAAAAACACCTCACCAAGGATTCAGAATATAGAATCTAAAATTGTCTGTTACAATATTATAGTTAATTTCTTTGATAAAAACACATATAAAATACACCAAAATAAGTAATAATCTAAAATAACGTAAAAAAAATTTAACCAAAACTATTCAAAAACATACATATTGTATCATGTTGTTGGAGTAACTGTATAATTTTCCTAATGATTTATTTCCTATATTTAGTCTTTTTATTATAATAACATTCTCCTAGAATATTCTTTTTTATATGAAGTTGTAATCTCTTTATTTATATCAGTTATTCTTGAACAACAGTATTTCCTATTAACTAATATGGTATCGTGAGCCCTTGTTAGGGTTTTCCATAACTAGTGGGATTACTTACCATTACACTACAAGGACTTGTACTATAAATTAACTTAGTACGACCTGACCCAATTCAATGGAGGCGAATCTTACTTGATGACCACTATCCATGACTAGTTCGACTGTGAGCAACAACGACAATGATATTCCATTGATTGGCATCGACTACGGCAACAAAATGGAAGAGGCCAAGGTAACGGAAATGACAGAGGCCTCAGAAATGACAACAACGGTGGTGTTGACGATGCTCTTGATAATGGCATCTAGATCGATGGTGATAGAAAATTCTACACATATTTCAATGATCAAAATGGTTCTTCAACCTCTCTCAAGTTCAATATCTCAAAGATGAATGGTAAAAACTACAATGAATGAGTTAGAACTATCACTTTAGTAATAGATGACAAATGGAACCTTTGTTTTTTTAACAAGTACAATAGCAGAACCAGCCATAGAGAGTCCTCTTTACAAAAAATAGAAGTTAGAAAACTCTGTGATTATTGCATGGTTGGTAGGGATTATGGAAGCCGAAATTAGCAAGCTATATATGTTCTTATCATCTACAAAGGCAATGTGGGAAACTATCATCGAAACATACTTAGATATTCTCAATTCCTCCCAATCTTTGGTGTGAATTCAAAGTTATGGTATGCTAAGGAAGGGTACATAGACGTAACTACTTAATACAATGAAATGTTAACCTTGTGGAAAGAGTTAGAACTTTGTTATGATGACAACTAGAATATGCAAAAGATAGTGTCTTATTCCTTAAAAGCCAAGTAAATGACCGTGTCTTCATGTTTTTTTTTTAATAAATAAAGATCTTTAAGAAGTTAGAGGCTAGAACCCTGTATGGCATACTCGTGAAACATGTTGGAATCTCAATGGAAAATCTACTGTGTAGAATAAGAAAAGTGGTAATCAAAGTTATGCACTTTAGGCTAGTAATTCGGATCAAGGACACGAGTCATTCTCAACCGAGCTTCCATTCACTTTGAAACAAATAGGAAAATTGTTAAAACTTCTCGATTCAACTCATTTGTGCTCTATAGCTCAAAAAGGTACACTTTTCAGTGTCAATCTCAATCATAATTGGATATTGGACTCAGGTGCTATTGATCATATACTTGGTGAATCTACGTTATTTACTTCTTATAGTCCATGTGTAGGTAAGAATAAGACAACAGTCGCAGATGATTCTTTTTAAGCCATTGATGGTAAAGGCTCACTTGTGTTGTCTCCAAATCTAACATTTACATATGCCCTTCATGTCCCAAACTTTTCTTGTAGTCTGGTGTCATTCGGTAAGTTAGTCTCAGAGAAATGTTGTCAAACTAACTTTTTCATACTTATTGTGTCTTTCAGGATTTGAACTCGGGAAAGAAGATTAGTAGTGCTAAGGAAAGTGGAGGACTTTATTAATTCGACTTTTGAGATGAATATTTACAACCTTCAAAACAAATAAGCTCTAGCTTTGATTTTATTATTTTTTTAATAATGATGGTAACGTTATGTTATGGCATTTACAATCTGGTCTTCCAAAATTTTGTTATTTGAAACATTTATTTCAAAAACTATTTATTAATAAGAATTTATCTCTATTTAAGTATTGTGCTAGCTAAAAGTACAACAATAGAAGAAAGAGAATTGACTAACTTAGTGGTTGCAAGAGACTATGTATATTTATCCCTGGAACTTGTGGACCTCATTTCCCAATTCCAAGATTGGGTTACATAAAGGATCTCTGGGATAGAAGAAGCCCCTCCTCCCACTTCCTCATTAGGAACGTGGGAGAAAAGGAAGACTAATTCCTCCTAAAATCATGGGGGAAGTAATTTACTTTGAGCTTATTGCCATTTTAGAGATTTCGTCAGTCTTTCAATCAATGTTTGGGGTGATTCTCTCAATCAAAGTTTGGGGCAATTTCCTTAAGAGAAGCTTGGGGAGATTCCATCAAGCATCACTTATGGAAGCATGTGATACCTTTAGTGTCTTTCATGATGAGTTTGTCTCAGGAAGATAAGTTCGTTGAAAACCATTGGTTACCTCACATGTGTCGGGAAGGAGAACGTGTGAAGGTTATCTTGAAATTGTTATGTGACATGTGTTCTTGGTCCTATGAAAGGAGGGCCTAAGATCATTTTCCATCCATGCTTTTTAATTTTTGTTATTATAATAGGGCAAGTTGCACTCAAACCTTCTCCAACTTAGCATCTTCTTCTTCCTTAGCATCATCTTTTTTATCCTTTTTTTTCTTTCATAAATGAAGATTATTAGAGAGTTAGATGAGAGGGTAATATGGTTGAACCCTCAAACAGTAGAGAGCTTATGAAATCATATGAACACTGCATGAGAAACATCGGGTGAGTCTATAAAACATTTGACTACATGTTCCTCAAAATAATGATGTTTGAGAGTTACAGAAGCACCTCCGATTATAATAATGAGTGACTCTCTTTCTTCATGTTCTTTCTCAAGAAATCCGGAGTTTTTAATGTCAAATAGCTCATACCGTTCAAGAATGGATGATTTTGAAACTTGCTACACCTTTGAGAAGAGAGTGGACTTCTCCAAAAAAATGCCTAAACCTCTCCAGAACGGGCGACAAGGGGAGGTTATCTTGAAGCCTTGCTCCAAAGAGGAACATGCTAACATGCCTGCCCTAGAAGATTCCCCACTTGCATTCTAATATGTGCACCTTCCAGTCTTCGATGACCTTGTAGTGCCCATACCAATTACCCATTTCAAATCAAAGGTTCTCGTAATCATTAATATCTCCTCTCCTAAATAAAGTCCAACGGTTGAGCCTTTACAATAGCTTTTGACATCATCATTTGATGCCTAGAAGTCAACCCCCGTCATAAGGATCTTATTCTTTTTTTAATGGTACCAAGATAAGACCCAAAGGTGGTTGGTAACTTTATACGCTTTGTCGGGAAAAGTCTTGTTCACCTCACCCCACTATAACCATTACAAGAACTGAAAAAGATAAGTTTGTGAGAGTGAGACGGCAAGATGAGGCGTCCATGGTCACCATCGGGGAAGATGATGCATATCATTTCCTCTTATATTAGACGGAGGATGTTACCATCAATGAATATTTTAAATTTTTAATCATCGCTAAGAGATAGGTGGTCAATGTCTTAAATGAGTTTAATATCATCAATCCTAAGAAGATTGTGCAGCTTGACTCGGGCCAGAATTACAAAATTGATGAACATTTGCGTAATTTCAATTTTGTATGTGTTCTCAATTAGGATTTTTATTGTTCAATGCTTATCCTTTCTTTTTAGAAACACTGCCCCCTTGAATTTCACTGAGAAAGAAGCTTGCATGACAATGAAAAATGTCGCTCGAGGCAAAGAATGGAAATAGAGGTGATGGGAATGTTATCATGAACCCCACACCTATTAAGACCATGAACTTTGAGGGGTTCGGAGGGAGTTCGACCTCCACCCAAGATAAAAAGGACAAGGACATAACACATGTGAAGATCGTCATTCTAGAAGAAGAGTCTGAGGGTGATGGCCCAAATAAATCGCCTATACGAACGAAGTATGGTATGATGAAAAATATTTGAGCATTTCTTATTACACCTTATGTGTTTCTTAGACACCATGCAAACTTTCAAAATTTTACAAATAAAATTATTTTGGAAAAAAAGTGATTTATGCTAAGTAATAAGTATTTCTCTGTATCCATAAAACTATTGTTGTTAATAGCTCATGATAACTAAAGATATTTGAAGCACTAGTTCTATAGGTACAAAGGCGTTATGTTGTTACTATTAATCAAGTCACTGACCTCAAACATAATTTTTCCCATAATTCATTGTTAATTAGCTATTGTTGGATTTATAGTGACGGTTGTACTATTCATATGATTGTGTTCCCATTGTGCGTGGAGGAAAGGTTAAGATTGATGAAAAATAGTTTTTTTTTAGCATGTGTATCCAAATGGTAACTCTTCTAAGACTTATTTTTCAAGAGAATGGTTATTCATGAGATACCGGTACAAAAACACTTTTTTTTTCCGGAAATATATTTCTGAAAATATATTTTCTAAATAAATTTATTCATATAATTAGAATTTGACTAAAAAACGAATAAAATACGTCTATTAAGTGTGTTTGGAGATATATCTCTGAAAATTAAGGATATTTTTAAAAATTCACGAAATGCCTAAAAAATATATATGGACATTAAGAAATTGCCAAATATTTTGTATGATATGATGCAAAATATTTTGTAGAATTAGACATCCATATAAAATTACCAAAAATCTTAATTTTCCATATCTACTCCAAAATTGCATTCGGCTCCCTAGGCCTTAAATTTGAGATACTCCTTATCACATTCAACTTCTTCAAAATTTTTATGGGTCCGTTTGGTTCAACGGATGATGGGAGAGAGGAGAGAATTTAATAGAGGGGAGGAGGATGATGGGAGAGAGGAGGGAATTTAATAGAGGGGAGGAGAAGGGAGGCATTTTTACTAAACATATGTTTTGTTCAAAAAAGGGGAGAAGAGGGGAAGGAAGAGATTTTTAATTACATATATGTCTAGTTCACAAAGAGAGAGAAGGAGTTTTAAAACTAAATTACTTTTTTATCGTTACAAATATTATCCAATTACTGCTTTGAATCTAAATAACAATTCATATTAATATAAAGAAAAAAATTTGTACAGAATAATTACTCCCAAAGTATTTGTGTGATATTCACTTTTTGTTTTTAAAAATTTTGATACATGGAATAAAAATTTTATTCAATAATATATAGCTATAACCAAAACAAGAAAATTGAATATAAAATTTATTTGATAATTACTCTTAAAGCATCCATGTCATATTCAATATTTATGGAATAAGAAATTTATTTGATAATATATAACTATAACCAAAACAATCACAATTTTTAGTTAACGACAACCGAGCAAACACATTTTTTAGTTAACGGCAACCGAGCGATCACAAATTATAGTTATATGTTACACATAAAAACAATATAAAATCAAAACAGAAAAATTCAACGAAATAAAAAGAAAAAAAAAACTCACATGAGAGCAGCAATACAATAGAAGACAAATAAAACATGAAACAATACAAAGAAAAACATAATTTTTAATAATTCAATAAGGACAATTTTGGAATTAAAATAAATATTTGAGGATAAATTAGAGAATATAATAAAATTTTAAACAATGAATCTCCATTTCCCTCCAAATCCCTCTAATTTTAAGAGGAGCAAAAAGTGAGTTTAGAAGATAATTTACAAATATATCCTCCCCTCCTATCCCTTCGATCTACCTCCGACCAACCAAACGGACCCTAAGTCTTCTTTAATGTAGCAATTCTTCCAGAAATTCACTTGATTTTTGAATTCTTGAACAAAACTATATATATATATATATATATATATATATATATATATATATATATATATATATATATATATATATATATATATATATATATATATATATATATATAAAATAAAAAAAATAAAAAACTTGTTGCCTTCAAATTGGAGAATAAGCACCTTCTTTTTCATGGACATTCACTATCAAGAATTTCTAACATATTTTTTTAAACAAATTCAAACAAAATATTAACAACTAATAAGAACCTCACAGCATCGAAAGAGTTTCCAGCACAGGATGAAAGTCTAAGTGTTTAAGGGTAATTAAATATGGTAAAGCACTAGTGAGAGTGGTTGCATCAATGTGTTTTTGAAGGTTTGGTATTTAAAGGAAAGTAACATATATAGTATTAGTAATAATTGCTAGTTAGCATGGTCCATGCCCAAGTCTTTATTTTGCATTTGGCAACATTGGCCAATTTTGTCTTTTCAATGTTTCATTTGTTTGAAAAACTATTTTAATATGGTGTTTATGTTTTCTTTGTAAACAATTTAAACATAATTCATCAAATAAATTGTAAAGTGTGTGACATATATAAAATCATTTCTTAGGGTTTGTACCCAGGGTGTGAAACCAAACGAATACATTGATTGTTGTATTCATGCAAACACGTGCAAAGTAACTCAGCAACAAAAGGAAGAGAACAAAAAATCGGTAAGAAAATCAAACTGTATTTACAGTGTCAGTTAAGAAACGTAGAATGCAACCATGGCCTGCTCTCTCTGTCAATTTTTCATGAATTCGAAGACATTGATCACATGTTGGACGATCTCCCGTTGATAAGCCTCTATATAAATACCTATGGACAGAAAATAGAGGTGGAAATAAGAAAATATCATAGATTATCTACAATAGTAACCACAAACTATCTACTATATCATCAATCGTAACTTTCATAAAATGAAATAGATCAGAGACCCGCTATTTACAGAGTTACCACTTTTATAGCATTTTTGAAATTTCGTTCAACTAAAACTCAACTGCTCAAGCATGATCTGTGATCCAATATATGCACTTATTTTATAAGTATGCATTCTACAATATAATTCAAGTTTGCAATAGTCTAACTGTGATCTTATTCTAATTTCTCAAATCCAACACAAGTCTTGCAAGTTGCAATAATGAAAAACATTATGGTTATTTTTTTATCGTCTCTGGGAGTATCTTTTAGAAGTTTCCAACCAAGAAAGACTCCTTTCTACATTCTTCTTGGAGCATGAAAAACATATACAGGGTAAGGTAATATTTGCAAGCATAGAAATGCCAATACTACTACTGAGCAATTTAATCTATAGATAGGAAACTTACTGAATGAATGATTTAACTTATAGGACTTGAATGAGTGAATAAGTATGGTTTTACCCAACAAGGAGGTTTTGTTTTTGATAATGTGTGTGATTCGTATTGCAAATTGGACAGATTTGCTGCTGAGATGAGATATCTGATGTATAGCAAGCTAAAAGAGATCGATTTGCCACACAGGATGATAGAAACCAATGTACCTGAAGGATCGCAAACAGCAAATGCATCGAGACAAGTATGGATGAACAGTGGAGAAATTGATAGAAAATATGTATTACTATAGATTGATAATGGATAATAGTAGAAGAGAGTTTCTCTAACCACTCCCAGAGCCAAGCTCTAACATTGAAAAATATTACAGAAATAATTCCATCATCATTACTTACAAACTGTGGGCTTCTTCTGTTGATATGCAGTTTCAGCATTTGGGCTTTCATTCCTCAATTGGGTTCTATCAACACCTGCCGCTCCTTGAAAATCAGAATTGTCTTCAAGTCTGAACCTTCGGAATTGGGTTGGAAGAGTAAAATCCCCTTTTCCATGTTGCTTCTTCTACTGCTTTCTCTTACTCGGTAACTTTCCTTGTGGAATAGTTGTTGAAAGCACAATCCTTGCCCCCGGTATCCCATTGATGGAAATTTGACGATCCAACTTCGGATAATCACACAGTTTTCCCTCTACTGCATTGGGGTGGCAGCCTACAAATACTATATTCCACAAGCAAAGGAGCTAATTCGCTCTGAAGCATGGGTACTACTAAAATGGTGAAGTACCGGCACCGAGTACGCATCCGTACCGGGTACACATACTGTACTCGTGGTATTTCATTTTTTCTCTAAAATGGTGAAGTACCGGTACCGAATACGCATCCATACCGAGTACACATACCATACTCATGGTACTTCATTTTTTTTCATTATTCGGTTTCGAGTGAAATTTGTGGCTTTCTAAAATATCAATATAATATATTTGTGTATTTTACTTTTTCGCTAGTGTATCTTAACATTATTTTTTACTTTTTAAAATTTCCATAGTGATGTTTTGTTGTGAACCTAACAATTTAGTTATCTACTCATACACTTTATAGAAAACTCTTATTTTTTATTAACATACGCGTACTTTAATTTTTTCAAAAATGTCGTATCTCGTATCGGTATCGGTACCCGCACCGGGTACCATACCCGTACCTATGCATCATAGCTAATTCGTCATCAATCAAAGTTCAAGCTAAGAAAAAAATAAGTTCATTTGAAGAATTCACTATATCTAAGGCCACTATTGAAAATTACTGAAGCCATTTCTTTTTTACTGTTCTTCCGGTACACAGAAAAGTATATGAGCCTCTTCACGTTGATATTTTCATCCTCCCTGTGCTTCTTCCCCCCACACCTTCAGCTTGGATATCTTCACATTTGCATAAAACACAATAGAAAAAAGCTTTCTACTATCACTTGAAATTCTCCAAAACCTGTTTCTTTTGTTCAAGCGACCCTCTTGTTAGTATTGCAATACCCTGAATGCTGCTCGTCACAAATTCAGTTGTCAACTCTAGTAAAAACAAGGATCTTTAGATCAATCTCAGGTTGGCTGCTGCATAAAGTTCATCACAAAAAAGCTAAAGTCTCCCTCCAAAAACCAAGAGCAGCTATGAAAGAAAAAACTAAGCAATGTCTAAATGTTCTTAAAATATTCATAACACATGATGGCAAACTTGAAGATACTTCAGTCACAAATCTTGCTTTCTTCCCGAAGCTTCTAACTACTCACAGAGCCAAGGTTAAACACAAATATATTCTCTATTATCATTATTTCCAAACTGCTGGGCTTTCCTGTTGATATGCAATTTCACCATTTGGGCCTTTGATCCCCAATTGGGTTCTATCATAGGGGGTATGCTAATTTTACTACATTTCACAAGGTGGTTGATTAGCTGGAGGAGAGTGAGAAGTGTGATTAAGGAATTAAAGTGAGTAATAACAAGGTGGACAGAGACTACATTCATTTATGTAGAGATCAACACCCTTTTTTAATCCCTCAATTGAGAGATGACGAATTTCTGTAAGGGCTATTGGAGTCTTGTTTGTTGCTGAAGACATACTCTAAGGCTACTTAGGCCTTTTAAAGTAAAGGTGTGGATGGCTATTTGGACTTCAGATCCATCGAGATCTTTTGCCTAAAATTCCTTTTTTCAGTTTGTTGTTTCTAATTCTACTCATCACCATCCAATAAAAACAAAACAAACAAACAACCAAGGCTTATCCCACTAAGTGGGGTCGGTTACTTGGATCAACTTTCTCCATAATGTTCTATCCTGAACCATGTTTTTATCCAAATCGTTAATCTCGAAATCTTTCTTAATAACTTCTCTTATAGTCTTTATCGGCCTTCCTCTTCTTCTAGTTGTTTGACTTCTCTCCATCTGATTTACTCTCCTTACCATAGAATCTACAGGTCTTCTCTCTACATGCCCAAACCACCTAAATCTATTTTCCACCATCTTCTCTACTGTAGGTGCTACCCCAACACTCTCTCTAATATTTTTATTTTCATTCCTATCCTGTCTAGTCTTACCACACATCCAATAAAAATAGATGAAACAAAATAATTTGGGATCTTAAAACTGCCTCTTAAGTTATGGCTTTGGCCGCCTTTTATGTTATGAGGTACCAAGGCAATTCCATAGCAAGCTGTTTGGAGGTTGCTGGATACAGCCACATAATTTTGGAGTTGTTTTCTTTACTTGTTTTAAAGGTTCCAAGAACAAGAAGACAGTAAAATGCTTTAGCTTTGTGCCAAAAATATCTATCATGTCTAAGTCTGAATCGCTAGGCATCAAGAGCCCCCTAAAAAAACAATTCTCAAGGCATTGTGATCCTATTTATAGATTCAATTGTCTAACAAATTGAGTAACTAACTCTTAACCAATTTCTAACCAACTAACTAACTTGACTAATTTTAACAAATACAGTTCCATATTTCAATTTCCAGCTATAGTTGTTTCCGTGCAGCACAAAGCATGGCATTGCCAGGAAGTCTAAGTGCACTGTGTACATGTATATAAACACAGCATTTTCCTCCTAATGCATGAAATGGAAGAAAAAAAGCAAGACAAACAGTTATGCATTTTAATAAGCCTACTTTAGCTGCTTAAATTTTTTCTTTCCAATTGAAAACTCAATACCACAATGCATATCAAGATAGGAAAGGCAAACTCAAGGATGCCTGTGCATTAAGTTTCTATAGGTTGAATTGAATGCATGGAATCCAAGCTACAATGATCACTAACTATAAACTTCAGATCATCAAAACTATACCATCTTCCAATCAAATTTGTATCCGTAAAAAGAATGAGAATCTATTCAAGTAAAAATAAATTCAAACATACTCACTTCATTAGGATGTCATAGTATTCAGGATCCAAGGAAGAAAGCATCCCATCCACATCTTTTATAGCCATTATTGCTCTATGCACAACAATCCAATGTGCCGACTACCAAAAAATATAAAGATACATGAAAAATATACTGCAAATTCAACATATTTGATATCTTCAATTGCAACTAAACTCTCCAAAAAGATTATTCTTTATAATAACTCAAATCAAACACAAGCATAAAATAGTATAAAGTATCAAATTTTCTTCAAAAAATGCAAAAATAGATAAAAGGGGGAAAAAAACCTTGCAACGCTCATCACTAGTCATGGCATAGGTTCCTTCAAGAGCAGTTTTAAGAGCTTCCACGGGTTTAAACCTAAAATTGCATAGAAGTTAATAACGATTACACATAAAATTTCAGTGTTTGATTCGTTGATAATCGTAATAGAGAAGTAAAAGAGAAAGAGGATAATGATGTTACTGTTTGAGTAAGCTTTCGATCTTGAGAGTTTTGTGTTCAATTCTGGTGATAATGGCTTCTGCATTATCCGCTTCAACGAATCCTTCAGAGCCTGCCATTGATCTTCGCAGTTTTGCAGAACAAGTTTTTTTTTTCTTCTTTTTTACTGCTCTTAATTTGAGTGTATCTTTGGTCTTGTAGTCATTTTGATTAAGAACATGTTGAAAGTGAAATTAATTTATCTAATTTATGTTTAGATGAGTAATGTAAAAGTAATTATTAACTTATGTTGTTTAGATCTTATTTTTTGTATCAGAGTTTATCCTAGAGGTGTAATTACCAATATATATTTTTAATGTGTATATTAAAAATTTCTTTTGTATTTTATATAATTATTTAAATTTGTTATATTATTTTAAAAAATCTATAATGCATATTGTAATAAAAGCTATTTTGGTTGTGCCAAACTATGCATATTTTCGTCTTACCAATATATAATTATTTAAATTTGTTATATTATTTAAATTTTTTTCCTTTGCATATTTTCGTTGTGCCAAACTATATTCCCTTGATATGTAAGTTAATAATCCTCCTTTGCTACCATCGAAAAGCTATTGTTGTACACATTTAATACATTTATGACTTTGTAAACGACAAATAGTTGGTTGGAAGGGTCTTGGTGAGCATATGAACATGTCGCAATAACATGTGAGCAAGACGTATAAAAGGCTTGAAACTTTTCGCAATTGCATCAACCTTTATTTAGTTCGACCTGATAGCATCCCTTTTGGCCTCCCTTAATTATTGTTCATTGTCTCCTAAACATTGAACCAACCTCTATGGCAGTCAAACATTGTAACCACATGTGTGTTAGCTTTGGCAGTTTCCTCCTTAATAACTTTCATACAACTTTCACTGAATAACTACCCTGATTGTAACATTGAACTCCATTTTGAATCTTTGAAAGACAGAGTTTATTGCTTCCATAAGATTTGTTGTCATGTGGCTCCATCGTTGACCATTATCAAATGCCCTGGCCCACTTCTCCATCAGAATATTATTGATCCACCTTAATGCATCTGCATTTTTTCAATTTGATCTCTTCGCGGTAGTGTTGGAACAATGGTTCTATTAACGCAGACCCTACATTCACAGCTTTTTTCTGAAGCGCCTTGTCTCTAATCTCCCTCATGAAGTTTTGTGCAATATGTCTAATGCAGTAGACATGCGTAAAAGGGGGATCTTGCCAACCGTTATCAAGGTTATTTTATGCACTCTCAATAGATGGATGTTTTTATAAAATCAAACATAGGTTGGGTTGTGAAGCAACGTGTATTCGGAGATTCTTGAGAAAGAAACTACAACCACTAGCAGTCTCACCTTCAACCAGAGTGAAGGCAATTGGAAAAATATTATTGTTCTCGTACAACCATGTTTCATCAATTTGAATAATAGGTTTGCAGAATGCAAAATCTTTTATGCATGGTTCATATGCCCAAAAGAGTCGATGGAATATTCTATTTCCACTAACATAAGTTCTGTTTGGGATAAATGTCGATAGTGTCTTCAAAATTGCAACAGCTCCCAGAGCATAATACTTAAGTGCCGCCAAATATTGTGGAATTTTTTTGTACGAATCCTCCCAATTTTTATATACTAGTTCAACAGCTTTAGTCCTTGCTATCCATGTCTTCTTGTATGAGGGAGTATAATTGTATCACGCAATGATATGGGAAATCATTGTACTCACCTTTAATGACGGATCCTTGCTAAGGAGAGGCGAAATTTCTAGGCATATTATCTTAGAGCTTAGTTTATGATGATCATGTATTGGATTGGTGATAATGCAAGTGTGAGGTGGATCCATAGAAGTTATCTTCTAACAATCACTTTTATTCCAATAAGACACTGTGAGCCAGAACATGTGTAACACGGTGGGAGAACTGACTTTAAACAATGTTGCGGATAGCAAGAGTCGCCACCGACTTTTATTTTATCCATAAGGAAAGGTTATAAAAGAACAGGAAAGACCTTAGAGAATATTTTGGGTCCGGGGGGTAGGTTATGAAAAGGGAAGGTGTTAGCACCCTTTTCATCCATGGTTATCCATGGGCTCTTAGGTACTTAAGCTCACTTTTGAATTGTTTTGAAAGTGTAGTGTGTGAATAGCAAAATTTTCAGAATAGTTAATAAATAATCCATGTAAGGATGTGTTAAGAACTTGTTTGAAAACTTGTTGAAAATTTGTTTAAGTGCGAAACAGTTTTGAAGTGAGCAAGCACCTAGGAGTAACCTACCCTAATGTTTAAAGGTCTTTCTTATTCTTTATTCTTTCCTTTAGTAAGACTATCCCTACTATAATGGAGTAGGTAGTCCTTACTTTGGATATTAAGGGATATGTGAGGGACAATTTGACTTTGAAGGCCATTGTGGGATGTAATAAGCACATATAAGGGACCATCATCATTTTTCGAAAGGGACTCGATTCGTAAAGGCAACCATAAGGGACTTTGATGATTTTTCTATTTGAGGGACTTGCTTTATACACCCCACTTAACCATTATTCGTAGGCAACTTGAGGGATATCCTTAGGAAGTGAGACGGCGATTAAAATCGACTTACGTGTGTGACGTGTTTATTTTAATTATCTTTATTTAAAAGTGATCTAAATTTATTTTAATATTACATACATGTTGTTACACTCCCTAATTACTAACCATAATAATAATTAAATAATTAAACAACTTTACATCCAAGAAACAATTACAAAATAATAAGCAAAATAATTAAATAAAATATAAATAAGCAATAATAAATAATGAAGGGGGTTAATTCTAAGTTTACTCGGCAAGACATCGCATCTTGTGCCTACGTATCCTTACGGGAGTGTGTTGTACCCCAAAATTTGACCGACCTCTCTGGCTTATGTTTTATTTCATTGCATCAGCATATGCATAAGCGTTGCATAGCGTTTGGCGTTTCACGGGGGATCAAGAAATGTGTGTCTAACAAAAATTACCAATGGTTTTTTAACCTGATCAAGGAGGTTATATTCAAGTCACCAAGTGGTTACCATTATGAGAGACAAGTCAAGGTCCTTGAAGACAAACGGATAAGCATATATGATTGTCAGGGGCAGAAAAATCAAAAAAATATATGTTACTTCTATCATGAGGTTGAAGAAAAGCGAGTCAGACTCCATTTGAGTTTTAGTTGGTCAAGATTAAGGTATAATACGTATGGAGATCCAGGGCTTTGATTTAATAACAAGGGATTATTTTCAGGAAGCATGGATTTAAGTGGTGTGTACATGGCGATCCGGCTAGAGTTTATGTGCCATTTTAGGTCATTTGTGTGTGGATCGGATTATTAGTCTTTGTCAAGAAGGGAGATTTATTTCATTGAAGTCAAGTTGCAGAGCCATCAGAAGTCAAAACATTTGGTCAACCTTTTCAAGTCATTCACAAGTCCTAACTATGTGTCATAGGAGAATTTAAACTTTCTTTTCCATTTCGGACTATTTCAAGATGGAATTAGAATCTGGTGTTAATTTCGCATAGTCAATTCAAGGTTTCAAATTTCATGCCTTTCCAAATGCAAGATTCAAAGTCCACTCAAGATTTAATCCAATCCGTTTCCAGTTTTGTTTTGATCCAATTCAAGTTCATCCCTTTTTTAAATTCAATCCAACTTTCAATTTAATGTCAAGATTTCATCTTCCAGTTTTTATCCAATTTCAAATTCCATTCAGTTGTTCAAATTTTAATTTCCTTTTCAACTTCGCTCAAACCCAAATTTTCTTTCAATTTCTTTCCATTTTAATCCCATTTCACGTTCGACTCAGGTTCAATTCATAACCTATTTCATTTTCAAATCTCAAATCCCATTCATAATTTCCATTCAAATACATATCATTATCTTCTCCTAAGATCCATTCATACAGAATCACAAAATGGGTCACTCACAAATCTTCGATTCCGCTCGAAATTTCGCAGCTATGATCAGAATTCGCGGTCCTGACCCAAAAGGAATGAAGATGAGAAAACACGCTTTTCATCATTACCGTTCTGGCGAGACAACTCTTTCTGCTTCTGGGTTGCTTGTACCTGATTCCCTTTGTGATACTCAAGTAGCTAAGCGTTTATATGGTGATAAGTTTGAGGATAGGGTGTTGGTTGTGACGGTTGCTTCGGTTGTTGAGCCCTTTCTATCTCCTCAACATAGGGAGAATATTCCTCAGGGTAGGCCTGATTTGATTTCTGGTGTTCGGGTTGATATTATGACAGAGAAAACCAATGAAGAATCTGATCAAGGAACTCCGAGTTGGCTTGAGGGGCAGCTATTGTCATTAGTTGATATCCCTGCTTCAGCCCTTTGTGTCCAGTCACTTGTTGAAGCATCTCTAGGCTTGTCAGAGCATGAATGGGAGGTTGGTTGGTCTTTGGCATCTCTGAATAACGAATCTCATCCCTCTAAAGATAATTTTCAAACTCAGGGGAAGATATCGGAGGGAGGATCGGGCAGTGCAAGTGTTATGTGCAAATCACTGACTAGAATGGCCATTCTTAGTGTTTCTTTATCTCTCAAGGACTCACTGAACTATCAAAAACCTTCCATGAATAAAAGGGGTGATTTCCTTTTGGCAGTTGGGTCTCCCTTTGGAGTCCTCTCATCTACACACTTCTTTAACAGTTTATCAGTTGGATGCATTGCAAATTGTTATCCGCCTAATTCATCTGATGGATCGTTGTTGATGGCTGACATTCGCTGTCTTCCTGGAATGGAAGGCAGTCCAGTTTTCAGCGAGCACGCATGTCTTACAGGTGTCCTGATCAGACCATTGAGACAGAAGACAAGTGGAACGGAAGTACAGTCTTTGGTAACAACTGGTGATTCCATGGGAAACCATTGTGAAGGCTTCTAGTGGCTTGCTGCGGACATGTCCTCAAAACACAATAGAAGGATTACATTATCAAGAGGGAAGAAAGATACCTTTTATTGACTACGAGAAATCAGAAACTCGTGTACCCTCTAGTAATAAACACGAGCATTTAAATTTTGGTAGCTCCTCACCATTACCAATCGAGAAAGCAATGGCCTCTGTATGTCTCGTTACTAT